ATATATATATATCCCTTCCCCAGCTGACCAACAATATACACAAATCATTTCCTTCACAGTCAGTAGAGTACTGATATATCTGTTGAACATTAATTCCTTTTTCTTCATTTACTCCCTGGACAAATCTACCACCATGAACAATAAAGGTGTTTACCTTGCAGTCTTGTTCTATATACACAAATTATTATACTCAAAAAGGGTGGGGCGCTGACATAACTTTTAACCCTATCCGTACGCCCTGGGGTTATTTTGTTCCCCACGCATTGTATTCTTCACATTTTAGAATACTTCTAGTAAGAAGGTCTCTTTGAAACTTTCGGTATTTCTCGAAAAATCATTTTGACAGACTGCTACGCAAAGCGTACGGATTAGACTAACGAGCAAACTTCCTCTTTGGAAAGTGGGGGTACAGAGTTTCCCACGTCGTATGGATACGATACATGTAGTAAAACACGACTTTGCTTACCTTGTAGTCGGGCCCGATGGGCTTGGTGCACTCCTCACAGTTGTGAGCAAAGAGCTGCTGGTAGCAGGGTATACAGTAGGGGTGCTCTTCCTTGAGGATGTAGCGGCAGGCCACCAGCTGCTTGTCGCAGTTCCAGCAGGCCAGGTGCTCCTTGTGGAAGTTCTGCTCCATGGCTTTGGTGTACTCCTTCGAGAAGATCAGCTGTGGGAGGGAGAGACAATCACACTGTTAGTTGGCTTTGTTTGTTTGGTGTTTTTTGGTTGTTGATTTTTTTTTGTCCTTTTTTTGGGGGGGAGGGGGTCTTTTTATTTGTTTTGGTTGTTTTGGGGGGGCGGTTGGGGGGGGCGGTTGTTGTTGTTGCTTCATTTTGTTTTACGGGGTAGTATTTTGTTTATTTGTTTGATTTGGGGTTTTGGGGTTTTCTTGGGTTTTTTTCAGTTTTAGTAAGAGTATTATGGCAATTACAACACAAATAGGTCATGTAAGTGCCGAAGATTAGAGGAATTACAAACACAAAAAAGGAGAAGGAGAGAAAAGGACGATATAGATGTTTGATAGGAAAAAAGGAGCAAACCACACCACACTACCCGCTGATCACCCACAACGTTAAGTTTGACTTGTTTAAGTTCACACTGGCATATTATAAGAATGCCTATCCTAAGTAAGTAAGCATACGGGTCTAATGCCCCTAATAATATGATTAATGTCATTTCAGAGGTGGGAAATCTCAACAAAACAACTCTTGTTCAAGAACGCCATAGCAGGGATTCGAACCAGGACAAACCACTCCAAAGTCCAGCATGACACCAGCAGAGAGGTAATGCGGTGCCCTCACACTGACCCGAGGTAAAGAAAAGAGTCCATGAAATCTCAACAGTAAGAGAAAACATCAGAAAAATCCCCAAACACGCCATAATATGTCCACGCCCACATTTCTACTTCCACCAGGGCGTTATTTCAGACGTCATTTAATTTCCCAGACCGTCCCAAAAGTCTAAAGTGATGACGTAGGCCAAAACGCCAGCGTCACGGCCTCGCTGGTAATGTAAGTAATATGCACGGTGCACCCTTGGCCGACTGGTCGGTTCTGCTGGACCGGGTCGGATGTACAGGTCGGGCTGGCTAACAACACGACTTATCAAACAAAGACAATGTTACAATATTATAACGTTCTACATTTTAACTTGATTCCCATAGCTTTATTTTACTTTACTTTTCCATTTTATTTTCTCCTTCCTCTTGTACCCTTAGGATGTGGAGGGGGGGGGGGATGCAGGTTTCGGTCTTGTGCTAAAGTGTGTGGCGTCAGTGATAAGACATGTTGTGTTGTTCCAGTTCCCTTTGAACGGGTCCAAAATAATGATGTTCCAAAAGAACAAAAGCCCTTGTCAAAACTCACACCAATTGTAAGTAATTATATCGTTATAAACCTAGCACCATAAAACCTGACGGATATTTTCCTTGTCATTAAGGCGAATATGAACCTTCTCAAAATTGTGAGACCAAATTTAGTTTGATAAGACACTTCGGTCTTATAAGGAATTAATATAGATCGTTTTCTCCACGACGTCCATCACATCAGACAGGATCGGGAGGCAGCCGTGTGAGTGTACACTGACCTTAACCCACAACATATGTCACGATGCTCGTTTGGACGGAGAAGATGCGGGGAGAGTTTGTGTGGGGGGGGGGAGAAGGGGGGAGACAGAGAGAGACAGAGACAGAGAGAGAGAGGGGGGGGGAAGAGAGAGGAAGAGAGAAAGACAGAGAGACAGAGAGAAAGAAAAGAGAGAGAGAGAGAAAGAGAGAGAGAGAGAGAGAGAGAGAGAGAGAGAGAGAGAAAGAGAGAGAGAGAGAGAGTTACTTTCCGACGTAAGACAGAGTAGAGATAGAGAAACACTTGACCCCTTGTCCCCCCCGGCGCGCAACTCGCAGCATCTCAACACTTGAACATCGCCGTGCGCGGGACCGCACTGCTCGAGAACAGAAGGTCATCCCTGCATCTTTACACCCTTATACACTTACGTCCTTACATCCTTACGTCCGTACGTTCTTACGTTTTTACGTCCTTACATGGTATGGTTTACGTAAGCGGTTCTTCCTGTGTCTTTTATCTCAGCAACAGGGAGGCACTTCAGAGGAGAGTTACTTCAACAACACAACTGCCATCAGGAAAGAGCGAGAGAAAGAGAGTGAGAGACGAGAGAGAGAAAGAGAGAGAGAGAAAGAGAGAGAGAGAGAGAGAGAGAGAGACGGGAGAGAGAGAGAGAAAGAGCAAGAGAGAGAGAGACAGACAGACAGACAGACAGAGAGACAGAGACAGAGATTAAATAAGTGATACAAATACAAGTAGCCGTCCTTTCAAGAAATCTCGCTTACGCTAGCATAACATAAATTTTGTCCATTTTGATGGATACACGTCCCTCACTCCTGAAACGGCTGAGGTCACATCATGCTGTACCCTGCTCCACACGCACATCAGCAGAGCATGAATAAACAACAACATCTGGTATTGGAAGTATTCGCAAGTGGTGCCGAGAATTCAAAATTTAACAAGCTATCCAAGAATGTCAAAAAAGTTTCAAGATCTCCAGCTCAACCATGGTGCGGTAAAGATTTTACGACGCTGTTGCCAACACAGCAATGTCATCCAGGAGTCGAGACCTCCGACTTTAGCGCCCATCACTGATAGAAGCGAGCCAAGTGGGTGGGGAGCCACGAAAACGTCCTCGGACAAATACACAAGTTCAGAAAAAAATAGTCGGGTATTCAAACCAAGGCCATCGGCATTGTAGCCCACAAAGAGAACAACTACATGTATTATGTATGCTAATGTGGCGTTCCACGCCGGAACTGGGTTATAAATCATGAGTACTTTATGCAAATTGTCGGAGCGTTTACGTTTTAGCAAGAGTTTTACGGTACTTGCAGCGCAATAACGTCACATACGTTATATATATCTTACAAGAGAGTAAGATACACAAATAGGGGGAAGAGGGGTAAGGACGATAGGTGATTGATAGGACAGTATGGAAACGCAGCATTTTTTAAAGAGCATCCCAGCAAAGGAATAAAAGGAGAACCATGATCGCCGATGTCTGTCGCAGATCTGGCACTGGATGAGAAGGAACAAACCACATCAGAGGACCCGCCAACCACCCACTGTCAGAGGATTCTTTCACGATAATGTGCATGTAGCTTAATAGTACAACCTGGTCTTTCTGGCCGGCTGGCTGGCACAGAACTCCTTCCTAGTACATAGTGATAGAAGCCACATGATGTCAGCACTGAGGTGGTACAAACAGACACAGAGGGCACGGGGGAGCGGGGCTTGTGGCAGTCGG